CACAGGGCCATCGAGTTTCTGGCTTAGGTGGAGGTTGGAGGGGGCAGGGGTATACTGGAGGAAGAGCAGTTTCAGTGGCGCTGGGTCTGTGGCGTGGTGGCCCGGCCTTGTGCGGGCAGCCAGACACGTGGATCCATTGCCAGAATGGTAGAGGCTGGAGACCCAGATCTAGCTGTCATTGACACACGGGACACACTGGAAGTCTAACATAGACGAGATCTCCCAGAAGGAATGGGTCCCTGAAAAGAGAAGAAGACCGTGGAGCAACACCATCACCTGGGAAAGGAGCCAGACTCAGGGGCTCCCTCTGCCCTGGGGCTCTCCTCAAAGCCTCACCCCAGTGGAAACTCATCATGGAGCTCCTCCAGTACCCACCCTGGGAATGGCCTTCCCTCCTTGTGGGTGATAGCACTAGAGCCTTGACCGCGGTCCCACTTGGGTTGGAGCTGGTTGTACCCAGGCCAGCTCAGCACAGCCCCTGACACATGCACCCCATGAGTCAATAAACACCAAGTAAGGACTGGGGTCGGGGAAGGCAGGCTGGGCACCATGGATCTTTGTGTTCCCAGCACCTACTGTGTTGCCAGCACACAGCAGGTTCCTGATAAATTAATGTTTCATGCCATTTGACTCTGTTTTAAAAAAATGATGTGTGTACAAAGAAGAAAGCAACAAATCACCCCAAATCCAAACACCCTGAATTATCCAGGGTTAACATTTGGTGAATTTTATTCAGAGTTTCTCTTTATGTGTATATTCAGATGAGATCGGGCACGCTCAGTGTGGTATGGCCATAGACGTTATGTGTACCTTCAGATAAAGGACTAGATGGAGGAGTGAATGGATGGATGGATGGATAGATATAAAAACAGACAAAAGCAACTTTATAAAAATATAATCGTACCATATTTGCTATTTTAAAATGAAATGCATGAAATCGAATCTTAATAGAACTTAACTGAAGAGAAAGAAACTGCAGCAAAATGGAAGAATAGGTGGATTTGAGATAAGTGTTAATTCATCACAAGAGATATTAGTACAAAAAGATCCCTCTATAGGAGACAGAGAGAGGATAAAAACCATCACAGGGCTACAGCCATTATGTTGTACTTTTTTCTAACGAGGTGTTTCAATTTTAGATGCCATGGGTTGACTCCGATTTAAAGAGATTCTTAGTAAGTGCACCCCCATCTCCCCTCCACCCACCCCCTAATTTTGGTTGCTTAAATTAGTTTTACTTTGACAGGTTTTATAACATTTACATTCCGTTCTGTAACCAGCATTCACCTAGTTGCTATTCTTGGTTCTGCACTTAAATAGATTTGAAGCTCACCACCACTCACTCTAACAGAGGTTCTACATTACCGAGTTGGTTTTTTTCTTTTTCTTTTGAATCATCTCTTGGTTGGCAGGATTTTGTCACTGAACATGACTTTCAAGAAGAGCTCGTGAGTGCTTTGGTCGCTGAGCCCTTTCGTGCTAGGAAAGGGTGACTTTGTACCCCCGTGACCGCCTGGCTGGTGTGGTATTCTTGGGTTGCGTTCTTTTCCCTGCGGAATGCTGTGGGTATCCTCCTTTGCCTTTCATTCTATCGCTTCATCTTTTTGCTGGGGTTGGCAGCACCTGGTGACCAGCATCTCTTCCATTCCCTAAGTTCCGAACCACTTGAGAAAGAAGATGAAAGAGGAACGTGGCTGTTAGAGAATGGGGTGAACACAGCCTCAGAATGAAACAGGCGGGACTGCGCTGAGCCCAGCCTCCTCCCCACAGGCAGTGCCTGTCCATCTAAAACCTAAGGCTCAGAGGGGCGGAGCGGGCTTCCTTGCTTCTGAGGAGGAGGAGGAGGGAGGGGTGGGGCGGGTCACAGGCTGCCCAGTGTTTCCCAGTGGCTCACCAGCCAGGTGTTCCTCCACCTCCAGTGCCCAAGAGCATGTGGGGCTGGGAGATGGTTCCGGTGTGGGAGGAACCTCCCCTCCACGTGGGAGGAGCCCTCAGGATACAGGAGACTGCATCTCCCCATCGCTTGTCTTTGACGTCTTAATTTATCGAATCTATATCTTGATTCAGCTTCATCTACAGCACAAAGTGCTCTCAGGAACTTGCTTGCATGTCTCAGGTTAGGTTTTTTCCCAAAGAAGTTTCTTCATCGGTGCCAATGTTGCAGCGGGACAGTGTGAGCCAAGAACATTGGATTTGGCAACAGCAGGATCTAACATGACCTTAATTTAGATGTAGAGGTTCACGTTTCAGCGGTGGGTCTGAAGGCAGACTGAGGGAGGTCAAGGAAAGGGTGTGAGTTGAGAAATCAGGCAGAAGGTGCAGCGTATTCCTTAGCGAGCTCCAGAAGGAGGGAATCTGCAATCCCGCCTTCCTCTTCACCATCTTCAACGTCTCCTCTCTTGGTTGCTTCCCCTCTGCCTATAAACGGGCACCAGCCCTCACTGCAGAAATCTACAACTTAGGAACCACGGCTCAAGCCCGCTTACAGGCAGAGGGGAAGAGGCCAAGAGGGAGGGGGACATTAAAGATGCTGGAAGAAGGGCAGAGGCTGAGAGAGATAGGGAGAGACAGATGGGACAGTGAGGCCTTGGGTGAAGCCAGAGCAGGAGCTCCAGACCCAGGAGTGGTACCCAGGCTGGGAGGAGGACTGTGTCTCCTGGAGTGGCCAAGGTGACCACCCAGCCTCACTGGAGAGACAGCAAGGCACCCACCAATTCCTCTGTCTTCCCAGTTCCGGAGGAGACCTGGCCTCCGTGGGGAACTCAGGGGGCCGAGGAGGAAGGGCACTGAGGTGGGTGGAGAAGAGTCAAGACCGCCAGGGTCACGGTGTCAAGGGCAGCGCCTCTGTGGCATCCAGGGATGTGAGTAGTGAGGCTGGAGGGGGGCCTGTGCAGCTGGGGTGGAGCCTCTCCCCTCTGCAGCCTCATCGCGGCTCTGGCCCAGCCAATGCCGGATGCTGTGAGACCCCAGGAAGGCAGAGCTGTTGAGGGCGGTGGGACCAGGAGCCAGGGAAGGACTCACTTTGTGTGACCTTCCCTACAGTGGGCAGGCCTGTCAGCAGTCACTCGGCTTCACTTCCTTGCCTTTTTCCTGAAGACAAAAAGAAGGAAACCGTGCGTTGCTATCTAATTCCAGGCAGCGCCCATTCTGTTGGTGAGACCGAGGCCCAAGGCACAGGGAAAGACCCCAGAAGAGGCGAGAGTGGGGGGACAGAGTTATATCTAGACGGCTGCAGTGATTCTGCAGGACTGGGGTGTAGGGGAGCTGATGAGGTTGGAGAGCTGGGCCAGGGTCAGATCACAGATGGCCTCGAATGCCACGCCAAGGATCTGACTCTGAACTGAAGTTCAGTCTGGTGCAGAAGGGATTGCAGGGGCAGGGGTCTGGTGCAGTTAGAACAGTGAGGTTGTTACGACCACAGTCCAGGTACAAGGGCACACGGTTGGGCTCAGTAGGCTCGGATGGAGCTACCGGACTTGGTGACTGACTAGATGTGGGTGAGGTGGATGTGTCAGTTTCTGACTTAGACGGCTAGGGGTTACTTTTCACAGAGGTGGGACCAGACTGTCAGGGAAGGTGGGGGTGGGCGATCAAGCCTGGGAGACATCCAAGGGAGATGTCTGGTGTGCAATTGTACATAGCAGCCTAAGGCTTGGAGAGAACTCCCAGGTTGGAGCTGTGGACTGGGGTCATCTGCACACAGGAGGTGGCTATGGCCATGGCATGGCTGCCATCACCCAAGACAGACCCCGGAGGTTCACCAGTGCTTAAGAGGCGGGCAGAGGAGAAGGCTCATGAAGGTGTGGTCAGAGATATCGGTGAAAGCAACAGAAAGGAGCAAAGGTGTCATCCAAACCAAGAGCAGTGTTTCAGGAAGGGAGAGGTGGGCCATGCCCTGTGTTACCAGAAGGCCCAGCAAGACAGAGCGTGTCCACCGACCTGCAGCAGCAAGAGCACAGGCAGCCTTGGGAAGAGCGATTTCAAGGGCCTCATGGAGCAGAAGTCAGACCCCGGAGAGTGAGGCGTGCAGGGGGGCACAGGGCCGTGCTGCTCGCCAAGCTTCCGCATTGGCCGCGAATGTGGCGCCCGTACTCTCTGGGTGTTGCTGACTCTCCCTTGCTTTGTCAAAATAAGTCTTTAGCTCTTGGAGCGAGTCTCATTTGACCAAGGATCTCTAGAGTGCCTGTGTCACCAAGGCCTCCGCTCGCCCATCTCCTGTCCCTCTCATGGAACCTCCTCGGTCGCAGAGGGTGGAAGACTCCTTGTAGGCGCTCAGAGCTCCAGCACCTTGGTCAGGTCTCCAGGCTGCCTGAGGAGCGCATTGGAAGGCTGCTGTGTCGGGAGCAAGGCTGCAGCATGCTGAGCCTAGGCCTTGCTACACCACATCTCCCACCCATCGCCTTTCACTCACTGGGCCCCCACTCACTTCTCATACTCCCCCTACCCTTTCATGAGATAACCGCAGAATGGGGGAGCCAGAGGAGGCCATTGCATCTTCAGGCCATCGCCTAAGTAAATGCGGGCCCCTGGAGGGGCAGTGATTTGCCTACAGCATTGACCAGGGTGTATCTGGTGTTCTGGCCCCTGCGTAAGCTCCTGGTCTGGAGAGAGGAGCATCTAGGAAAGACCTCTGTGGGGAGGGAGAGGCCCAGAGTCCCTTGGACTTGGCCTTCCCCAAAGACCTGAGCAGGTCAGTGCACCTTGGGAAGCCTCTCAGGGCCAAAGATGGCTACCAGGCTCCCCAGACTCTACCCTTCTTCTTCTTCTTCTTTTTTTCTTCTTAATTATTATTATGTTTTTATATAGAGACAGAGTCTCTTTTTTTTACCCAGGCTGGTCTCAGAACTCCTGGGCTCAAGTGTTCTTCCTGCCTCAGCTTCCCAACATGCTGGGATTACAGACATGAGCCACCGCACCCTCCACTTTTAAAGGCCTCTCTTGGAACAGACCTGGGGCCCTTCATTGATCTGTGGCTCCACTACCTCCTCCGCGATCGGCAGGTACCAAGGCCACGTCCCCACTGTGGCCTTCTCCTTCGGCGCTCCCTACGGCACCACCACCCTCAAGTACTTCCAGGACCACCGCAACACAGCCATGGAGAAGAGCCACACTCCTTTCAGCCAAGGCGGCCACTTCCCCACCATCTTCTCCACCAACCCCAACCTCCTGCTGATGGAGCGCGCGAGCACCCGGGACCGCTGGCTGCACAAGCCCAGCTACACTCGCTTCAACCTGGATAGCCACCGATCCACAGAGCTCACAAACTTCTACCAGGTAAGCTGTGCGGGGCTGCCCTGTGGCCTTCCCTCCTGCCCACCTGCCCCCACCACGGGAAGGAAGTGATGGCCAGGGACTGGGGGAGACCTCGTACCTGCCACAGTGTCTTGATTTCCTTTCTCAGAGCCCCTGAGCCAGCAGGGAGCATGGCGGGTTTGGCTAAAGGGAGTAGGGAGGCTTAGGACTTTGCCCCCCTGATCTCTCCCCACATCCTGGGGCTTCTGGATCACCAATTCCTGCTCACCCCCACTGCCAGTGCAGCTAGGGGTCTCTAGGGATGCTCCTGCCCTTACCTCCCCCTGGAGTCTCTTGAATCTGTGGAATGCCATATATTTTCGAGGTGAGTAAAAGGTCTAAGATCCACCCACCAGATGAATAACACGAACAAAGGCCCCACTAGAGCCCCCTGCCCCAGGTCCAGCCCCACGGTGTTTTATCCACCCGCATCCAAGAGCCTGTTCAACCCCTCCCTACCCTGCAACCCCCCTGGGGGCATGCTCTGAGTCACCCTCAGCCCCAGGCTGGAAGAGACTGCCCTGCAGGGAGTAAGCCCGAGGATGGGGACCTACCCATATCCCTGTTGTTCTTGTCCTGCTGTTTGGGCTGGTAAAGCCTCCCTGGATGTGGTTCAGACACATTTCCAGAGACCACAGGTGCATGGGCCTGAGCTGGCCCTTATGCCCTTGGCAGGGATACGGATTCATTCTCTCCTGTGTTCCCAAAACCTTACTCTCTCCATCACCTTCTCTCGCAAGCCTCCCCGTCTAGCCTGATTGCAAGGACAAGGTATGTCCTGGCCCCAGGGCAGAGAACTTGTATGAGTAAGGCAACTTCCTTGGGAGAGGAGGAGGTCAATGCCACCAGCCTCTGATGCATATGTGACCATCTCGGGGGGTCTGCCAAAGCCTTTCCCTCCATCTTGGCGCTCAACAGAACATGCCCCATACAGGCAGAAGGAGAGAAGGGAGCAAACACAGGCCAGGCAGACATGGTGCCTGTGTGCACAGCAGGTGTGCGTATGCCTGCAGGGCTGAGTTTTTGTATTTGGTCCGAGCTGGTCCCTTGTTTCATTTACGCTCTGTAGCAAAGCTGGTCTGGTCGGTGTCATTATTCCCATTAGGCAGATGAGAAGTTGAGGCTCAGTGAGGACAACCAGCTGGTTGGCAATTGAGTTGGGACCCCAGCAACTCCGGGACTCCTCCAGGGGCATTAGGAGAGGTGGCCCCCAACCCTGCCCAGGTGCAGCAAGGCATGGACTGCAGGTGCCTGCGGTCAGTCCTCCAGACTAACAACCTGTCATTTCTTCCTTGATTGAACCATAGGCAGTCCAGCAGCATCGGAAGTACTATCAAGACAAGACAGGCACGGTGCCTCGAGTCCCCTACTTTGTGCTGCCCGTGAGGGAGCCGGAACACTACCCCCTCCCCACTGTCCTGTGAGTTGTGAGTCCCTGCCCTCCCTTCATCCACGCAGTCAACAAACGCACCCATGGGGCACCTGCTCTCGGCCAGGCATGCACAGCGCACAGACTGAGAAATGAGTTGAGGATCTTGCCCTAAAATGTGCGGTGCAGAGAGTGATGGTTGCGGAGCAAGGGGGTCAGGGCATTGGCAGCCTCAGGGGGGATGCTGGTAACCTGAATGGGTAAATCACGAAGAGTGCTTTCCTGGCCAGATGCACTGGGAATTTGGGAGAAACTCCGTAAGCTCAGTGGGCCTGAATCTTCGGATTGATGCCCTGCCTGCAAAGGCAGCCTGGCAGCTACACTAGTCCTAACGCGGGCGCCCATGCAGAGAGCAGTAAGGAGCTGCTGCCCTCTGGTGGATACAGAGGGCACTACACCGAGCTGGAATCTTCCCCCAGCCCCGTCCACATTTGGAAAATGTTCTCCTAAGGACTTTCTGTCCATCTAACAAAATAGGAAAGTTCCTTGCCTCCTGCCCCTCACCACTTTTATCTAGGAGAGCTCCTTTTTCCAGGGAAGGCCCACTCTGCCCTGAAAGATGACCTGGGTACTGTGGTTTCTGTGCTCTCTCCTTCCTGAAGCGCAGGCAGGGGTATCACTAACTCACACGAGGTGTCCTGGGGTGGGATAGGGTGGTGGGTGGTACCTGGCCTGCAAGGTCAGTGGATAGAGCTTGGGATTTAGCTCCATACCGACCACTTCCTGCTTGCCTCAGAGTCCTGAGATTCACAGTCATCCTTACTGATAAAGCAGCATCTGTTTTCATAAGTTTAATGGTTTTTATAGAAACAGGCTTCACTGCATCCAAAAGTTCCTTTCTGCAAGATAGGATCATTTTACAAAAAAGGGAACCCGAGGTTCATTTATCACCTGGGGAACTTGTGCTGCATGGCCTGGATGGTTGGAGGCAGAGCTTGGAAAGGAAGCAGCATCTCCCATCACCACCTCTAGGACTCAGGGGGCTCTCTCTAATCTTGGGATGGCTCTGAGCCAGTCCGTCCCTGGAGTAGAGTGGGGGTCTCCTGTGGACAGGTATCCTCTTGAGACAGCTCTGGCCAGGACCTGCCCCCACCCCCATCACCATGGGGAAAGCGGGACACCTCAACTCTGTTCCTTCTTCAAGTTGCCTGGCCACTTGCACTGCTGCTGACAGTTTCACACTGAATGCAAATGGCCAGCCAGGTGGTTGGGAGAAGAGGGTCAGTGACCGGCCTGGGGCAAGCCCCTCCCTCCTGGAATCCCCTCCATCAGCACCATCATCATTTCTTAGAACATTTGCTGTGTGATTACTCCTTGTCCAGAGCTTTACATGCATTACTGCATTTATTCCTCAAGTCAATGCTAAGAGGGGGATACCACCACTGAGCCATTCTTAAATATGCACACTTCTAGCAGGAGTTGGGACCAGAGTCCATCCCAGGTCTGTCTGACATCTGTGCCCTCACTCTTCACCACTGTGCCACTATGTAAATACAGGTTATTCCCACCCCAAGTCCAGGGGGACCTATCAGGTGTTAAGCTGACGAGTAGCCAGCAGGCCAGCATAAGCTGGAAAGTTGGCACATGGGGCTGTGGGTGGGCATGCATCACCCTCTTTCCCTGGCACACTGCATAACATCAGTCCCATCCTCACCCCTAGGCCTCCTCTGTGCCCGAAGAAGAAGTGGCACCTTTTGAGAGTAGCCCCCGAGAGCCTGAAGACCTACCAGACCTTTCCGTCAGGGAAGAGGGTCTCCCCGCAAGAGCGGAAGAGGAGAGACTGCTACTTCGAGTTCAGAGCATGAGACCAGGTTCCTGATGCCTGGGATCCTGGGTGGAGACCAGCCCGGCTTCCCTGGAATAAAACCTTTAGCCGTGACCATCCTACCCACCTCTCCTCTGGATCCCAGGGACACTCGGCCACAGCAGGAAATGCCCCCTGAAAGTCACACAGCATTGTGTCCTACGGGCCTGCGGAAAGCTCTGTCCCAGGGACTGAAGCCGAGCAAAAGTGGTGTCCGGCTACCTGACAGGTCCAGCTACCTTCTCCCCAAGATGGGGCAAGTTGAACTGAGGAATGTAGGGTTCCCTAGCCTTAGTGGCAGGTCACTCAGGTACAGAGACCTCCCACCTGATTCTACTGGTATAAGCAAGGAAGTCCAGTTACCCCGGTCTAAGAATGAAGGGGAAGTGGCCCCAGAATAATCGTACTGGGTATGATTGGAAAGGAATTTTCAAAGGAGCCCTGACTTGGCATCGTTTGGTCCACACGATCACTTGTGAGGGAAGAAGTGTTATTATCCCCACTTTACTGATAAAGACACTGAGGCGCAGAGAGGGTGAGGGTAAGAAAGTTGCCCCAGCTTACACAGTTGGGAAGTATCACAGCCAGAATTTGAACTCAGGTCTTTCTGACTCCCAAGTCCTGGTTTTTCCATGACACAGCCTGCTTGTGGTCCATGTGGAGACTGAGGGGCAGGGAAGACATAAACCTTGGGATCCTGAAGGAGCCTGTGGAGGGTGGAGCCTGGGAGAAGAAGCTGTGCGCAGCAGGCACCTTCTGCATTCTGCCGAGGCTGGCCTGGACGGGTGGATGCGGCATCTACCCCTGAAGCTGTTTCTAGAAGAGGATGGGAGGGAATGACCTAGGACCAGGCCACTCTTCCAGGAATTCCTATGTTTCGGGGCCCCAGGCCAGAAATGGATGCTGGGCACGGATGCTGAGGCCACATGCCTGGGGTGGTCTTTGAGGTCTGGAGGATCCGCTCCCACCAGGCTGCTGCTTCCTACCTCCCAGGAGGCTCCTGCCTGCTGGGGCAGGGGCAGGACGGGGGTGAGAGCCCCTCAGGGACAGGAGCAGGGATGGGGACCTCAGACCAAGGTGGGGACCTTCTCCAACATTCCAGCACCTCTTGGATTTGATCAAGGGCACTCCATTAAACGACAAGGCCCTTATTGTCCTTGAACAGGTGAGTCAGGACCTAATGGCAAGGGGAACACAGCCAGGTTCAAGTACACCTGGGGCTGGAGCAGCCCCTCCTCTGTAGCCAGCGATTAGATTAGACACCTCCCCCAGGATAATGTAAATAAGAAAAACCCAGTGGGGGGCTTCTGTGTCTCCAAGTCCCTGAGGAGCCGGACCCCAAAGGCTCTCTGTGGTGGCCAGATTCATTCCAGGGCTTGGCTGAATAGCAAAGCAAATAAACTGATTGCTGGTCCCACAATCAGGGCCAAGATGCCTTCTCCCTCAGAAGGGGAGTGGGGAGCCGGGCGCCGGCTGGAATGGCTGCTATGTGCACGTCTCTGTGCGGCTCTGCAGTGTGAGGTGCTGGGGGTCCGGGGTTTTGGTGAAGGGAGGGAAGGCCCTCTATCTTGCTAGGGACCTTCATCCCATTTGGCTTGGTCCCCTGCTATGACACGGCTTGAGATTTGAACTATTCCCTCAAAAAGATTGCCACCCCAGCCTGCTTGATGACGCTGGCACACGGAAGCCCTGGAATGGGCAGCTCTTAATAAAAAGTACCATGTATGATCCTGCATTTAAAAAGTGATGATCTGGTGGGCTCAGGAACAGGTTTTTCTTTTCTTTTATCTAATAAACAATATTCTAGAGGGGAGAGTGGGCCCGGGACAAAGTCATACTTCAGACCAGCTCCCTCCACTGCTGGAGGGGCTTCGATGCCAGTGGTCTCCCTCGAGGCTGCCACGTCAGGTATTTGCAGCTACATCAGCATCCCCAGAAGTGAATCCGAAAGGAGCTGAAAGAAAGAATCCCGTGAGCCACGTGAGCCCGCAGGTCCAAGGGGCCCTCTGACTCCTGGGTTCACAGTAGTCCTGGAGGCTCCCTCCCTGGCCTGCATCTCATGTCCCTTTCTCTGGGTGACAGCCACTTTGCAGCTGTCCCAAAGCAACCCCAAACCTTCTTTAAGCTTCTTTCAGCATCACCGCAAGGCAAAGGCAGGGCACCAGAAGGAACCTTGTGGTGCTCGCATCAGTGGAAAGAAATGGAAGAGATTCAAAGCGAAACTCCGAGCAGTCAGGGTGCCAGCTTCATTACGTGCTGGGCTGTGACAGAACAAGAGGAGTTACCTTTGGCCGGGGTGGTCCCAAGTGTGCATCCTTTTAGAGAGGGGCCACCCAGGCCACAGGCCCTAGCAGGCCTGTTGGAATGAGGAGCCCCCTCCTCATCCAGGCAGTCAGAAGAGGGGAGGACCCCTGACCATGGCCACTCGGATCCTGTCTCTGGGGATTTGGAGTCAGAGCTGAGAGGTGTTACTTAGGAGTCACTGAAGGTCACTCAAGACCGAGGAGGTATAAACTTGACCACTGCGGGGAGGCCATGCATGGTCTTGTGTCTGACAAAGCAGAGACAGCTGGTGCACAGCACTGAGTGAGCGTGGAAGGCTGATGGGAGGCAGAGACATTGGCACAGAGGGACCCGGCAGCCCCGGGCTCCTGCCCTGGTGCTGGCTGAGTCTAGCTCTTAGTTCTGTTTCCCTTCATCTGGAAAAGCACCTTGAGTGGGCACACGTGAAATCAGCGCGCCTCTGAGACCAGGGGCAGAGTCGGATCCAGAAGCGGGAGACGCCAGCTCCACCCGGCTCGTCCTCCATGGCGTGCACTGCCTCCAGGGGGCATGCATCTCCCGAAAGCGGCAGCACCCCAAAAAGACTTCAACATGGCCAGGGAGATCTGGAGATGGCCAATCTTCTCAAGGATGTTTGGGCCTCAGAAGACCCTTTGGGCCCCTCTTGCTCTAAGAAATAGAATTGGATGCTTCTCTCATTGTTTCTTTTCTTCAATGAGCTCCACCACCAGCATCTTCTGATCCCCCCTGAAACCGCCCACTCCCAGTTGGCTGCTGGAGGCAGTGGGGTCATCAGGAGTCCAGTGGGCCTCAGGAGAAGCACAGAGGTGTGTCGGCTGGCACAGGGAATGCTCTGAGGTTGGAGCTGTGATGTCATTCTCAAAGCCTGGGATCCAATCCTCTCCTCTGCCTTTCAATACCCCAGGGTTACTTAATTTCTCAGAAGCTCCAGTTTTGCTGATTCTGAAAGAATCTGCAAAGTATTCTGGAAACTCAGCCTCCTTGGGAAGACTGAGATGTCCCATGGGGTGAGGAGAGATCGGGGGGCCCTTCATGCCCCCCCACCCACTCTTCTGGGCAGTCCCGCCCCCTCCAGAATACCTTACTTCATGAAATCCGGAGACTTGGCCATCGCATGTTCAAACTCTGAGAAGGACAGCATGTTGTCATTGTCCAGATCTGACTCACTCAGGACCTGGCCAGGGAGCACAGAAGGTGGCTGAGTGGAACCCGGTGTCAGGCAGTGAGGTGGGGCACGGGGTGGAGGGGAACGCCACATACCAGGGGCTCTGCCACATACTCAACACTTGTCTCCCAGGTCCCCTGACCCCAGTGGCCCCACAGAGATTAGGTTACGTGCACCAAAGCTTTGGACCCTACTGGCTGCCACTCACTCCTGGGGCCTCCAGCGCCAGCCCGGCAGTGAGAGAACAAGAGTGTCCCCCACCTGCCCCGCCAACCAGTACACCCAGGGGCTCTGCACTACAGGGGGCCCAGGCAGGCAGGGAGGTGGTGGTGACTCCCTCAGCAGTGCTCATGGTTTTATCTTCCTTCTAGTCCCCATCGAGACTGGAAATGCTGGACACTTGTCATGTTCTGAAAGCCGAGATCCATGCCCTGACTTGAGTTTGCGGGGCCGTCTTCGTGTTTGTCACTCCGGGACACCTGGGCACTGTGTTGTGCTGAGACAGTGTGGGGAGGGGATGTTGAGAGGGGTCCCTCTGAGGCTAAGCTGCTGTTGGCCCACCACTGGCCGTCCCTCTCACGTAGGGAGGTCCCTCGAGTGGGTGGGTCGGGCTCAGTGTTCTGGGGACCCTGGACAGGTCTTGGAGGAAGGACAGAAAGTCGAGGGGCAGTTGCCTCCCTCTGTGTGCCCATTCCTCAGGGCACCCTGAGCTGCCTGTCCCCTTGGCAGCCCCCAGGGAATGTGTGCACCAAAGGCCAATGTGTCATCGGACTCAGACTGGCCCTGGATCTCCTCCCAAGAGGGTGGCCTGACATCCGGGGGCTTTGGGTGACAACGCGGCCCCTATCCCCAGCCCCAGCCACCAGCTCCCAGCCCCCAGCACACACGTGGTTCGTGAGGTCCATCAGCAGGTCCTCAGACATGTCATCACTGTTCAGCAGCCGCAGGATGATCCTCTGCAGGTCCTCCTCATCAATGAAGCCATTCTCATTAAAATCTGCAAAGAAGAGGCCAGACCTGCATTAGAGGGAGATGGGCGCTGAATAGGAAGAGGACTTGAGGAGTCCTGGGGGACACAGCACCAGCCAGGACCCCACAGATGCCCATTAGCCTCTGGGAGGCCCCCCAGAGCCCAGGTCTCCCAGGCGGGTCACACATGGGTGCTCAATAACCTGTCAGAAATACCAGTGGTAGTAAGTATTGATTGTGTGTGTACTATATGCTCAGACCTCTCCTGGGAGCTTGAAGTCACTGAATCTTCACAATCAACCTTTTATTAGTCTTTTACCAAAAAGAAACTGAGGCACAGAGGGTTATATGGTTGCCAGGCAGAGTGGAGCGGAGGGCGGCCTGGATCTGAAGTCGGAAGGCCTGGATGCCAGTCTCTGCTGCTGTCCAGATGCAGTAGCTGTGTGATCTGGGCATGTGCCCTCACCTCTGCAGTGAAGGGGGGACAGTGGTCCTTGTAGCCTCTCCACAGAGGAGCTAGCCATACTGACCCTGGCTGTGCCCTAAAGTGTTAAGGGGACAAGAGGCAATATTCCCTCCACCCCCGTGCAGCCTCCTTCCTGAAATGGAGTCCAGAAACGGGCAAGAACAGGCACCATTTCTTCAGCCCAGGCAAGCCACAGCTGTCAGAAAAAGGGTAACGGGACAGGGAGCCTGCAGACCACGGCGGGCTCCATACATTTCAAATCCCCTCTAAAATAGCCCAGGAAGCTGCCGTGGCCCTGGTGTGCCCAGAGGGTTCTGGCCGCGGGGAGCCCTGGGGACTCTGGGGTGGGTGACAGTGGGGGTGGCACCAGGACGTCCCGGACTTCTGGGGGCCGCACTGACTCCCGTGTGTGCCGGCTGCTGCTTCCTCAACTGCAGCCACAGCCCAGGGCCCCTGCCTTCCAGGACGGCGCTCGGAAGTGCCCACCACCCGTCCCACCAGTCGGGGAGTGCTGCCCTGAGCTTGGCCAGGCCTTGGGTCCTCCTTTTAGGGTCATAAAATATGGTCATTACATAAACCTCCTGAGCACTGAACAGCCAGGGTCCACCTGACCCTATTTCCCACAGAGCCACCTCGAGGGGTGTCCTTTATCCCTCAGGGCTGCCTAAATCGGTCTTCTCAACAGGCCTTGGAAGAGCGTGACCTGGAGGGACGGCGGGTGGAGGAGGTGCCGGGCCACCAGCAGGCAGAGACCAAGGCACTCTCGGGAGCCAGGGACAGTGGCAGAGATGGAGTCACCCTGGGATACCAGGCAGGGACAGCGGCAGAGGAGCCACTCTGGGGTGCTTGGCAGGAGTGACTGGCACGGTGTGATGGGAGCAGAGGCTGCTGGGAGGCCTGAGCAGAGAAGTATCAGGGGTTAAGTCTGGAAGGTGGGCGAGTTGTGAAGGCCTTGAATGGCAAGTGAGGCGATGTCCGGCATTCTCAGCACCGCTCCCCCAGAGCTCCCAGCACAATCACCCAAGCCCCTCACTGGGTGGTAAACACAGCTGCCTGAGTGAATTATAATAATCACCACCACAACAAGCACAGATGTTTTTGCTGTGGCCAGGCAGTGGTCTAAGCTCTTTGCAGTTCACTGCATTTAGTCCTTCAGAGATGATGAAACTGAGGCATGCAGAGATTAAATAACCTTACTTACTTCCTTAATCTCATTTCAGCTCATTGCAACCTTTAAATCTCACCTATAGGCTAATGAATGCCAAATGTATGTCTCCACCCTGGGTTTCTCCCCGAACTCCAGGCTCACATATGCACCTGCCTTCCTGCTCTTACCCAATAGTCCCTCATATTCTACATGTCCAAGCCCAGGCTCCTCATGCTTCCCTCCCCAGCCCTTACCCCTAGACCTGCTGCACTCACAGCTGTCCCCTCCCTGGGAATTGGGACTCTTGGGGACTCTTCCAGCCACTCAGGCCAACCTGGAGTCACCCTTACCTCTCTCCCTTGCACCCCACAGGTGATGGGTTGGCAAATCCTCCCAGCCCCCCCCATTTCTCATGCACTACCCCACCGTAGCCCGGCCACCATTGCCTCTCTCCAGCTCGCCCTGGCAGTCTCTTGCTGAGCTTCCCTCTTCTCTCTCTGCCCCCGACGTTTATTCCTAGCACAACAGCCCAGGTGATCTGTTGATTGTCATTCCTTCCTCATTGCCCTCTTCTTGCAGCCCCGTCTTACCCAGAGCAGAATCCAGGTCCTGATCCCCAAGTCAGCCCGCCGTCACTCTGCCTCCTTGCTCAATCAAGCTGACACACTCTTGCCTCAGGGCCTTTGTACGGAGGCTCCCCGTCCTCGGGACACTCTCACCTAGAGATCCTCTAGGTCTTTATTCAAGTGTCAGCTCCTTCTAGGCACTACCCAGTCCCTGTGTAAACATGCACTTCCTGTGTCTTCCCGGCTTTGTCCTTCTCCCAGCACAGAGTACTCCCCAACACATTATGTGTTATTAGCTCATTTATTTCTCTCCACTCGAATATCAATTCCACAAGGGCAGACATCTTTGTCTTTTTGCTCACTGCTGTATCCCTAGTTCCCAGAACAATGCCTGGGACAGAGTAGATGCTCAATGACTGTTGTTGAATAAATAATGAATGAATTACCCAGGGTAACCATTGGTAAGTGATGGAGACAGGATTAAACCCAGGCAGTCTCACTTGATGGAAAGTCTATGTTCTTAACCACCCTTAACTCCCTTTATTGCAATAAAGCGCCAATCTTTCATGGGCAGAGGATCACCCAAAACAATCACTACATTTGCCAGCCTCCCTTGCTGCTAGATGTGCCCGTGTGACTATGTTCTGGCCAATGAAGTGTAAGCAGAAGAGGCACAGACAACTTCTGGGACTGTCTATAAACAGAAGGTGTGGTCCTCTGGGATAATAAGGTGACCTTGGGAATGAAGGATAAAGCGACAAGATAGGAGGACCTGGGATCCCTGACACTGAGAGCTTTAGAACCACTGTGGGTAACTGGCCAGGCACGGTGGCTCACGCCTGTAATCCCAGCACTTCGGAAGGCCAAGGCGGGCGGATCACGAGGTCAAGAGATCGAGACCATCCTGGCTAACATGGTGAAACCCTATCTCTTCTAAAAATACAAAAAATTAGCCGGGCGTGGTGGCGGGGGTCTGTAGTCCCAGCTACTGGGGAGGCTGAGGCAGGAGAATGGTGTGAACCCGGGAGGCGGAGCTTGCAGTGAGCAAGATCGCACCACGGCACTCCAGCCTGGGTGACAGAACGAGACTCCATCTCAAAAAAAAAAACAAAAACAGAAACAAAAAGAACCACTGTGGGTAACTATCTCTTGACTTCTACATAGTAGATAAATAAATATATAGCTTTCAGCAATCTTGAAAGCTATCTTGCTTAAGCCCTGCTACCTGTGGTATCCTGTCATTGGCCACCAAATTTAATCCTAATTCATTACTGAGTCTCAGTTTCCTCATCTGTAAAACGGGAGTAATAACAGTACCTCTGCAGAGTTGCTGTGGAGATTAAATAAGAAAATACATAGACATCACACAGAATATAGAAGATATTCCGTATAGAAGGTTAGATATAAATAAGAATAAGCATATTAGTTATATCTAATAAGCATCTTCTATACTAAGATATCTTAGTATATATAGTTATTGTCAATACTTGGTAACTATACAACGCTGTAACTTAGTATAGTCATATCTTTTATACTAAGAGACTCAATTCTACATCACTTGATGATTGCTAAACACTAAAAGTACAAACTGAAGAGGCTTTATAAACCCACCTTGAAGGAAAGGAACTAGAGAGCTATATTGGTTTATACCAGTTTCTATACTCATTTCGACTAGAGAAACTAAGGCCCAAGTTTGCTGATGTCACTGGGTCCTTTGGTGGCAGAGCCAAGACTTGTCTCTGTTCCCCATGGCAGGATATGGGTATGGAAGATGTACGTTCCCCTCACTCCTCCAGCAGTGCCCCTTCCCTGGCTGAATGCTTGTCAGTGCCAGGACTGGAGCCTCTCTCCCTGCACAGGCTCTGCTATCACCTCCATGGGAAATGGCTCAGAGCAGGTGAAGGGGGTGGAGGGACCAGCCCCAGGGCCTGGAGATGGTGGATGGCACTGCACTGCTGCTGGGAACTCTGCAGCCTCTCTCAGAGACCCTGCGGTGTCCCCAGGCATCCTGCTGGCCCAGCTGTTCTATGCAGAGACTGCAGCAAATGACATGGCTTTGGCCCCAAGCCATCTGGAAACAATAATTTGCTAGAGTAAATGTAGTCCTGGACAGTTCCCCTCCTTCGGGGGTGGCAAGGGCAGAGAAGCTGGGGAGGGGTTGGGGGCTGAGAGCTCCGGGAGGCTGACCAGCCTAGGCGGCCTCTGCAGTCTCAGACCACTTGGGAGGGGCTGGAGCCTTCTTCTTGCTGTCTCCCAGCAATGCTAGGAGGGGCCCAGAGAGCTGGTGGAGTTGGGACTCAGCCTTCAGGCCCCCCGAAGACTCTGACCATCATCACTCGAAGTCTCTGTCATTCCTACTCCTTGCAGTTTCCCAGGACTTTTACAGAAATCAACCTGTCTGGTGGAGGGAGGGAGGGCTCCTTTCACCGTGACTTTCATGAGAACTGAGGTTTCTTCCTTTGCCTCTCCCCAGCCACCTGCACCTGCAATGGCGTCAGGCCCTGGGAAGGTAGGGGGAGATCTGCCACAGGTGCTCCGGTACCTGCCTGGGGATAATTCCTAACTGGTGGAGGCTGTGCTGACGGGAGCAGGAAGACATTGCTGGGATGGTGGCCTCTCACCAGTGGAAACTCTCCAGAGGTACGGAGAGAGGAGATTGATCAGTTGGAGACCAGAGTGTCTCTCAGAGCAGGACCTGGAGCCCAGTAGGTAAGCTCCAGGGAGGTGTGGCTGTCCCTGCTGGCTGCTGCCTCTGCCTCTGCCTCCTCTTCTTCCTCTTCTTCTTCTTCTCCTTCTCCTTCTTCTTCCCCTTCCTCTTCCTCCCTTTCCCCTTCCTCTTCCCCTTCCTC